GGGTGTGCGCCTTGGCCTGTATGGGACAAGGGCACCAGCCCCAAGAGGCCCATGCGCCAAGAGATCAAGAAAGGAAGAGTCCTAAAGGGGGAAGGCACCTCCTAGGTGTCTTGGGGAGGAGGGATTCCTCCCTTGGCCGCCGCCCCCCTAGGAGATTGCATCTCCTAGGGCCGGCGTCCCCCCCCTAGGCTCCCTATATATAGTGGGGGAAGAAGGGCCTCTCACCCCACGCCTTTGGTGCCTCCCTCTCCCTTTTCAACACATCCTCCTCCTCCATAGTTCTTGGCGAAGCCCTGCCGGAGTACTGCAGCTCCATCACCACCACGCCGTCGTGCTGCTGCTGGAGCCATCTTCCTCAACATCTCCTCCCCCCTTGCTGGATCAAGAAGAAGGAGACGTCACGCTGACCGTACGTGTGTTGAACGCGGAGGTGCCGTCCGTTCGGCGCTAGGATCTCCGGTGATTTGGATCACGTCGAGTATGACTTCCTCATCCCCGTTCTTTGAACGCTTCCGCGCGTAATCTACAAAGGTATGTAGATGCAATCCAATCACTCGTTGCTAGATGAACTCCTAGATGGATCTTGGTGAAACCGTAGGAAAAATTTTGTTTTCTGCAACGTTCCCCAACAGAAGGCGAGGAGAAAGAAGCTTGCAGGGCGTGTGACGGGTGCGACGGCTACCGAAGCGCCGGCGAGCTCACTCGTTGAGCCGGTGGCCGACGCGCACAACGTGTTCGACGATGTACCCCAAAGGTAGAAATTTTTTCCAACTTTTCTTGTTATTTTTTGAATGCATCCATATAGATAGCTTATTTGCATTGTTCTATATACTTTGTAGTGTCAACGATGATGCATACATGCCAACTATGGGTGTTGGCTCCAACAATTCGCATTGGTCTCAAACCAATGACATGCATTTCGAAGAGCATGAGTTCGAGGTGGACGAAGATGGTGAGGGCATTGTCGACGCGCCAAAAGGAAAAGCGGGCAATTACACCAACGCCGATGACATCTTACTATGCAATACTTGGTTGCAAGTGTCGAGGGATCCATCCGTTGGAGGTGATCAAAGTAGAGATGCTTATTGGGGGCGGATGAAAGAACACTTTGATGTTCGCAACGTGAGTGGAATTGACCACTCCGAGAGATCACTTTGGTCCGGGTGGTCGACAATCAACTCGGATTGTCAAAGGTGGGCGTCCGCACAAAAGGCGGTTGACAAGTTGAACCCAAGTGGCACAAATGAGGACGATAGAGTAAGTGGCATTTCATACATGATCATCATACTTGTTGTTGGTGTTCAAAGTGCTAACTTGTTTTGTTTTCATGTAGTACAACATTGCACAAAACTTGTTCAAAGGAGAGGAGAAGAGAACCAAGAAGGGGAAGATCAAGAAAGGAAGGATATTTACCTTGCCTCATTGCTATGAAGTGTTGAAGGATGATGAGAAATGGAAGAAGCATGATGATTTGGATGATTTGCATTTGAGAAACAAACGCAAGAGAACAATTGAGTTGAATGATGATGAGGAGGAGGAGGATGATGCATCAACTGACGGCAAGAGAAGCCCCACACCCAACTCGGTTTCATACTCGAAGCCAAAACGACCGGATGGGTGCAAGAAAGACGCAAAATAAAAGAAAAGAGGAAAGGAGATGATGAGTTCAAAAATGATATGGAAGCTATTGTGAAGGCAAGAAAAGAAGCCAACGAGGTGAGGAAAATGGCAAGGAACCAAGATGCCGCGGCCGAGGAGAGGAGGTTGGCGGCTGAGGAGAGGAGGGTGGCGGCTGAGGAGAGGAAGGTGGCTTTGGAGGAGAGGAAGGTGAGCAATGAGGAGCGAACTAGATTGTTGGAATGGGAGAAGCACTTGTTCTTCTTGGACACATCTATCCTCAATGAGGTGCAAAAGGAGTATGTCAATCTTGCCCGTGAAGAAGTCTTGATCCAAAAAAGAGCCAAGATTCGCGCAATGGGTGGCGGTGGCCTTGGCGCCATGGGTGGCGGTGGCTTTGGCGCCATGGGAGGCATGGGTGGCTTCGGAGATACCGTGGGCAGTTTAGGTGCCATGGATGGCTTTGGAGCTACCATGGAGACCATGGGAGGCATGGGTGGCTTTGGAGCACCCCCCGACGCTATGGCCGCCATGGGAGGCATGAGTTTTGCTTCTCTCATGGGAGGCATGGGCCGGCCGCGATGGGCGGAATGTCTTCCGGTGTGCCTCCTCACACACATTTCCATGAAGATGTCGTTAAAGATCTTGCCAACACCGTCGGAGCTTCACGTGATGCGGTGCGCGATGAGGAGGAGGAGGAAGAATCATCTTCGGAGGAGGAAGAATCGTCTTCCAAAGATGAGGACGAAGACGAGGACGAGGCTTGACGTGTCTTTCGTTTGTGTCATGAACTTGGTTTGCATTTTGAACTTGGTTGGATGAACTTGTGGGCATGATTTTGAACTTGTGGGCATGAACTTTTATTCATCAACTTGTTTGTGTGAAATTTATATGTCATGTTCATTGCATTTTGAAGGTTTCAAATCCATTTTGTGTCCAAAATGCAACATATCCAATGCCCCGGCGCTACTGGAGCTGCATTTTTTGCGCGCTACTGGAGCGGCGCGCGCACGCTGCATTTTAGCGCGGCTGTTGGAGCTAGCGCTGCCAGCCGCGCAAAACCAGGCGAAGGGCGCGCGGTAAAGTAGTTTTTTGCGCGCGGCGTGTAGCGCGGCTGTTGGAGATGCTCTAAGATAAAGAAATTTCATGCAAATGCCTTTATATCTGATTAAAACATACATCAAAAGTTTTCCCATCTCCCCTCTCTTCCAACAGCTCTCCTATGCCTACACAACCTTCTTCAGAATAAACTTCACTTGATAAGCTTACTAGATCACATTACATGAGATGCTTCTTTGTCGAGACTATTTATTCGGCTATCTCAACCTTGCGGGTTGTCATCGCCATGGTCTGGCCAACAATAGTGCCAAATGGAGAGTTCATCATGTCTCAGGAAGAGAGATCACAACAAGGAGTTGATACGAACCTTTGGAGAGGACATGATTCTTGGAGCGTTGCCAACATTGGTATACAATCATATTCGTGTTACAAAAAACCCAGATTATTCTTGTTCATAGAACAAAGCAGAAAAAGTTCATCTAATTGGTATTTTAGCAAGTAGAACAAAGGAAAAAACTATGCATTTTTTTCTATCAAAAGAAGGGGAAATGTGACAATTTAGCGAGGTAGGTCCCTCCAAGAAACTAGTTCTCGCTCCATTGTACAACATCGAGTGACACATTGATTTGATGAATTAGCAGCCCCAAAACTAGTGCTAAAATAGTTGGAATAATTTGAAGGTAACAATGTCACAGCTTCACCATGCCTTTCTAACTCATGATTTCTCTTCATCACCATCTTCCCTCTCATGGCCTGCAGTCTTGGCTCCACTTCTTTCATGGTAGGCCTCTCCTCTCCTCTATGCTTTAAGCATGCCATTGCAAGGGAGGCCATCTCGTCGATCTGTCTTTCCGTACCTTCCTCAAGAACTTGAACATCGACGATCTGCTTGATGGTGTTATCTTGTTGCCTTTGAACAAAGTAATGGCATAGGTTTTTATTTTCACCATGGGAATCGAGAAAGATCGACTTTTTCCTTGTAAGGGGCTCGACAATTATCACACCAAAACTATAAACATCACTCTTTTCAGTTAGTTGGCCTGTGTGGTAATACTCGGGATCCAGGTATCCAAATGTACCTTGCACTGCTGTGACTACACGAGTTTCATCAATGGAGATGGATCTTGACGCTCCGAAGTCTGCAACCTTCGCACTAAAGTTATGAGTCAAGAGTATATTGGCAGATTTCACGTCTCTGTGAAAGATTGGTATAGAAGCAGCGGAATGCAGGTAAGCAAGAGCACTTGAAGCCTCACTAGCAATTATAATACGATCGTCCCATGTTAAAGAGATCCTGGAACTGAGGTTGTCACCATGGAGGATTTCAGACAATGCGCCGTTGGATATGAACTCGTACACAAGCAAAGGTACCTCTGACTCGAGGCAGCATCCAAAAAGTTTTACCACATTTCAATGATTGATTTGTGACATAATGGCAAGCTCGTTAATGAATTGATCAATCTCTATTTGATCAACCAATTTGGACTTCTTTATGGCCACCACGCGCCTATCTAATAAAATCCCCTTGTAAACGGTACCATGCTCTCCAAGACCTAGAATGCGTGTGGAGTCAAAATTGCCGGTTGCCTTTTCTAACCCATCCAAAGAAAATATTTTAGTGCTATGAATGGCACTTTCATCCGATGAGATCAGTTGTTCCAAGAAAAGACCTTTGTTTCTGCGGAAGTGCGCCTTTCGCAACTCTACTTTTAATACCTTGGTTCCACCTTCGGACCAACAAGGTTGAAATTAACGCAATAAATAGAACCCCAGTACCACAACTTAGTCCAATAATAACTCCTGCAAAAGTATACATAAGTAATATTTAGACACATTTTAAAAAAAAGGATATATTCTCAGCCTCTGCATCTGGACGATGCATGCATCCATTTTATTAATTATTTATAAAGACCTTACAAATAATATATCAATATGCTTGAAGCCATTATCTTGGCAACACACATGTCGCTACTCCTATCCCCTTGATGAAGATGTGCCAAATGTCCGAGCCTAATACCAAACAGACATCACATCAAATCCTAACATAGGCCCTCTCATGCCGGAATTGGGTCACACACCGGTCTGACGCACTCTCATAGGCCGCTGCCACCTCCAACCGCGTATCCATCTCTAGAGCAGGTACTCATGCACCAACCTTGGCAGGCCTACCGTCGACGCCACCATGGCGTCAGATAATGCCACCATCCTGCGCGTGTCCATTCACACACGCCCATCCCTGAAACTCCGCAGCGCCATGCCACAGTGATCCGCCGTCGGCCTTGCGGTAGATGTAACACCGTTCCTCCTCTTGTCACCTCTAGCCATCACTTGCTCCAAAACGATGCCCCCAGGAGGAGAAGCGATACTGAGAACGCCGTCATCATCCGATCCGGGAGACCCAACTCTAGGGTTTCCCCCAGAGCATCCCGAACCTGGTCACGCAAACTGCAACGACGATGCCCCGACAAGGAAACGACATCAAAGACGTCGCCAATGTCCGCCATGACCATAGTCGGCGCGATTTTCATCAGCAGTTGCACCACCGGGCATGCGCTGTCGGCGTTGCTGCTCCCTTCAATTGGAGCAAACTCCAAAACGATGCCCTGAAGAGGGTACGATACAAAAGCAACACAATCGCTAACAAGGACCAGACAAGGATGGAATCTCGTAGATCCGCCCAGCTGCCGACGTGTCACACCCACCACCGTGCCGACCATGACTCCGAGACCAAGCCCACGCCTGGGCACAGATCCGGCCACGCCACTACCGTCCCTGGCGACGGCGACGTCCCAGATCGAGATCGAGACGACCCCGACCGAAACCCCGCCACCAGCGCCACCACGACGCACCACCGCCTCCTAGCCAAGAGGCCGCCGAATCCAGCCATCCCCGCCATCGAGAATCCAGCCAGACGTCGTGCCCCTCGCCGCCGCATAGCCGACCCATGATGCCGCCACGATGACCAAAGGAAGGAGGAAGAGACCCCGCCGCCGCCCGCGCCGCACGGGCTTCGCCCAGCGGACGCACTCCGGCGGTGGCGAGGCGGGGGGGGGGGGAGGAAGTGTTGGAGAGGAGCGAGTCGCTGGCCGTCGATCTAGGGCACCCGTGACGTACGCGCGGGGCGCGTCGAGGGAGGAGGGGTGTGAATAGTTTTTTTTGTCTGTAACTACTTTGTCGTTATTTATGTGTTGCCGAAAACACTTTCGATTCCATTGTTTTTAGATTCAGCGGACCAATGCTCTGGTCCTAGTTGATGTTAAAAATAAAAATAACCAAAGTTTGGCAGTGGGCCAGTGACAACTGACAAAACCTCTCTACATTGCCAGGCAATGAAAAGAAAACTACCGTGTTGCTCTCACCAAAACATAATATTTAAATGATAAATAGCAAAAATCTCTTTTCAGATTCTAAAATGGTTGTAATGTTGTCAATGGTTATAAGACGAATAAAGCAAGGTGATAACTTCAGGAGGTTTACCTATCAATCCATTGGTGCAAGAGTTTGTTTCCTTTGCAAAATTACCGCCAAAAGGACATAAACAATGGTATCCTCCAACTATGTTTTAACAAGTTGCAGACTTAGGGCAGGGACTTGGACTATGCTCACATTCATTGACATGTGCAGTGAATATCCAAGAAAAAACACCTAATCCCATGTGAGACTTTTGAGGTAAGATAAGAAAGATATGGATATTGGGGTATTGGTAGATAACTATAGAATACCACTTGATCTAGGCTTCTTATTTATTCTAAGAAATGATTTGCAATTCTACTTAAATGAATATATATCAGTCAACATCAAAAGTTACAAACAAAGGTATACGTACCATTTTTCAATCAATGATGGAACTGAAATGGCATTCAAGATGCAAGACAAGTATAATGAAACAAACTAACAATTTGATCAATATGAGATAGAAAAAAAGTGAGTACAAGACTTGAGTATGACGGTATGTTCTCCTTTACAGTTTTTCCAACAACATATTCATCTACTATTACATAAGTACTCGATTCTCAAGAGACAAAACTTACATATTATAACCCCTACTTTGCATTTCTCTATTCGGATTTTTTTTGCATGCATATATGAGAGGGGAAAT